TGTGTTTGTGTGTGTGTGAACAGAAAGTGTGTGTGTCTGAGAGGTTGCAGGCAGCCTGTTGTCCAATATGTATTTGATATGGGTATTAAAAAACACAAACATAGGCTACTCACAATTCCCTGACCGCTCTCCCACTCACACAGCCTACGTTCATTCAACCACACACACACACACACACACTCCTAGGATAATATTCAGCTCAGTGCTTTACTTCCACCAAGCAGTAATCCCCCCCCTCCTCTCCCCTTCTAATTTTTATCTGCTCTCTTCCAGGCGAGGCCAACCTGACTAATCATCCAAGGTGTCAAGGTAAGGTTGTTTGCCTCTCACCAGCCACTCGCACTGATAACAACATGAGCCCCGGTGTGTTTTTCATCCGGGAAAACACAACCCGGCGTTTCAACAAAAACAGGAATTCCTCAGCGTCCTTTTTGAAGAAGAAGTTAAAATTGGCTTTTGCAGCTCCATCTGATTCGCCACAAAACTTCCCTCGGTGCTAGAAGACGGGGAGGAGCGCTTCCCCCCCAACTCCCCACACTCCCCGGTCGCATTAGCATAGGCAAGCACAGAGACACAATGGAGTTTTTCACCACTGGGCCAAAATACACATATTCTGTACACGCGCATACACATTGCTGCAGATGAGAGTTTTTGCCTCATGCACATGCCTGGAGAGAAAGAGACGGAAGAGATAGATTGACATATTTTTGTCACCGTCTCCCGATCACTGCCAGGTGTGCTGTAGTTGTCTTGTCAGCTGATTGAAAGGAGAAGGGCATGCAAAAGAGGGCAGACAGATAGATAACCAGACAGAAAACACTCCTGACTTTGTGTTTTCTTCCTGCTCGCTCTCTTTCCCTGCCAGTCATCTCGCCTGTCACCTTCTCTTTTTCATCACCTTTTCATTCCTGCCCTCCATCCATATCATACACAAATATCCTCACATGCACACACAGTGGAAAACAAACCCTCCACTCCACATTCATCCGTTCTGAGTTTTTTCATAATAGCACACAAGCTCATCGCAAGCCACCGCCTTACCCTGCCGTGAGCCACCGTGACACCACACAGTGCCATAAATCACCCATGATAACATCAGGGGTTCCATCAGTTCAGTGAAACCCAACTTTGGCTGTTAGACAGAGACGTGATGAGGTTGCTTATGCTGTGCGCAAAGCCCAGACACAAGTTGTGGAGGCTCTGGTGTGAGGGCCACTGCAGCAGACTCCCTGTCTGCACTGCAGTCTGAGTCTGCTATGTGCTGCCACCTGCTGGCCACGTCTGGGCACAGTATGCAGTTGAAGTTGCTGGTTAACAGGAGATTTGACAGTATTATTAAACCCCTTGTTCCTTATTAATTAGTCTTAAAGAGGAAAGTGATCAAAGACATTACAGGACCTGGATAAAAGTAAGATTTCAGGGCATCAGATCAGTAAAACATATTATTATTATTATTATTATTATTATTATTATTATTATTAAAGATATCACGTGTAGTTTTTAC